ATAGATAGATAGATAGATAGATATAGATAGATGGTGTAGTTGGTATAGAGACCAAGGCAGAATTAAACTCTTCCTAGTCAGTGATTAAGATATTTTGTAAAATTGACAGGTTAAGCTTTGTTTCAATATCTGGACAAAAATATGTTAACTTGGCAATCCAAGTGTTGATGGCCTTTAGCATAGAAGAATTTAGTATAAATTGTTATTTTTTTAGTTATGTTTTAAATGTGTATGTATATAAAATTGGAATCAAACATCTACGGCATTGTATTATGTCTGTGTTACCCTAGGGTTCTTTGAAAGTTTGAAAAGCACTGCTAAAGCCTGTATACTCCTTCGGCCATACACTATATTACACTCTTCTCTGGGTCTCTAGTTCCTAACACAAAATAGATGCTCAGAAAATGCAATGTAATAAATGCAATGTTAAAATGTGATGCTGATTTTCTGCTTTATCCATTAGGGCACCAGTGTTCTGTCACCTGGACTTCACATAGGAATTATTATTATACTGGCAATAATGATCTATAAAAAGTCAGCAACTAATGTGTTTGAAAAGCATCCTTGTCTTTATACCCTAATGTTTGGATGTGTCTTTGCTAAAGTCTCACAAAAATTGGTGGTAAGAATTTCTTTTAATTTATGATTCATGGTATAAATAACATACCTAGTCCTCAAACACAAAGCTGGAAACTATTTCATACAGTAGGTAGGTTTTTTTTGTGACATTATCAAAATATATAGTTCCTTATTTGTGCTCCAAGTAAAACTGTGAGTTACTGTTAAATTCAGGGACACAGACTCTTTACTATATAGTAATAAGTTCTTTTAATTATTTCCTTAGCTATAATTATCAATTATAACTTTCTTATATCAAGGAATTTTAATATTGAAATGTTAATAAGCTACCCAGTCATCCAGTCATGAATTTGAAAAGTTTTAGATTCAGTATTTCTATATCAAATAAATGTTCTCCTTACCTTATTTGTCTTAATAGTGAATTAGTTATAATCAATTCTGTCCTGAAAATAAAAGCTAAAATGTTTAAAATTTAATAGTGAAATTATTTTGTTTACTTTTTTATAGATAGCTCACATGACTAAAAGTGAACTGTATCTTCAAGACACTGTCTTTTTTGGCCCAGGTCTTTTATTTTTAGACCAGTACTTTAATAATTTTATAGACGAATATGTTGTTCTATGGATAGCAATGGTAAGTTCTTTTCTGCTAAGATTTTTATTTATTTTTAAAAGATGTCAGCACTATGCTTAAGAGTCATTTCAGTGAAATATCAGGTAGTCTCACTAGTCTATACATTATTTAAATGTTTCTATAAAATTACTTCTTTTAAGCTGTGAATTGTTTTTTCTTAAATATAGAAAGGGCCCAAATATCTGGAAGTCTTGCTCCCAACAACCTAAATCCTTAAAAACACAACTGTGTACCTTAAAAATTACTATCTTTCTCTCCTCCAAAAAATAGTATGAAGATGTCAAAAGTCATTTTACTCTGCCCAAAGGACTACAGCACTTATTAGTGTCTTTTACTTAATCAAACTTGTTAGAATTATTCTGAGCTTATAGCAGGTAACAGGTAAATTAGATGGAGTTAGTGTTAGGAAAGGTGGGCACTTACTGCATCAAGAACTGTCAGCTAATAGTGAAACAAAACAGAACTGACATTATTAAAAGTATAGGATTCTGGGACCATTTTGTGCTAGAAGTAACCCTATATATCTGTATGGCCCTTAAGGATAGTGCATAATTTATAATAATGATGATGACTCTCATCAAGCAAACATTAAATTCTCATTGATTATATTCTGCTTAAGTGATATGGTTAATACATATATTCAAAATATGCATTATTATTCAAAATGATATATAGAATTATGGTACTTGAGAGAGAAGCTTTAGCCATCAGAGGAAAAGAAAAGCAGTGTTGGCAACATTTTAATCACGAAATTGGATAAAGGAAGTATTATTAACTTTTTTGAGACATCTTTATGGTTGGTCTTCAGTTATGGTGGTATTGAACAATCTGCTATATTTTTCCGTACCTCTGGACCTCACTAGGCTTCATCAAATTGTCAGTGATCTATAAACACATATTAAAATGAACTAAAAGAAACCATGCAGTGAATCTTTGGATAATTTGAATAATCTACTTGTTAGATTTAGGCACTGAAAAAACTATATCTGTTCTGTGCATGGACCATTGAGGTACATATATCTGATGATCATTTATACTAGGTTCTATAGTAGTATACTTTTTCTGGAGTAAATTAGTAATATCTATACTTAGTCCATTCAAAAGTCGTCTATTCTTCAAATGGTAGTGAGATGTAAATCTTAATCCTTGAAAGTTTTCAGGCAATAGTCTAAAAAGTTTGCAAATCAGAATAATTTCCTTTGTTTTTCTATCTACATAAAATACTTTTAAAGCTCTGAAACAGTCTAAATTTAAGAAATAGGGAGAAATTATTCAAAATATCTGAAAATTCAATGTAAGGTTTCATTTAGTGAAAAATATTACCAAGTGGAATTAACATAATTAAAATATCGTGTTAAAAATTCAAGCACATACTTCGTAATAAGTTGTCTAGTTTACACTGGTGGTGGAGATTACACTGAGAAAGTCAAATTCAGTTTTTCTTTAAAACACCACGTGGGCCACAATTAAAAACAAGAACACAAAGCATTATGTGAACCAAACAAAACTCGTGTACCCTATGGCATCCTTAGGGAAAAAGGTTCTTGCTTCAGAGAGAAAAAGGTCAGATGGAGCTTTTCAAGTAAATGATAGGGAGATTTTCCCCTCGTGGGTAAGAATTCCCTCTTCATCAGCAGAGCTGTGAGGCTCTTTCTGAAAGAAAGCATTTGCCCCTGGTCTCTGGGGAAGTTTTTAAATAGTGTGCTTTCCTCAATTTTGTATGCAACACAATTTGTATATGCCTCCCTCAATTATGGTGTCTTTTCCAGGCCATTACTTTCTTACAGCTAAGGTTAAAGGAATAAGAAATGTGTGTCATGGAATTTCATTATAATGACTGAGAGCCCTATTAGAAATTTGTGGCTTTGTTGTATAGCAGAAAATTGAAAGAATGTGGACTCAAAACGTACATTCTGTTACTTTCCAGCTTTTGTAGTTGTCTAGTTTTTTACCACTCTGAGCTTTAGTTTCTATAACTGTAAAATACCCTGCATATTCCAGAGGACTATAGTGAGGTCCAAATATGGAATGTATGAAAGTACAATAAAGTGAATTTTTCGGTGAAGAATTTTAAGGTTTGAGAGATTGGCAGGCAGGGGTGGGGTGGGGGGCAGAAAAATAGCTGCTGCTTCAGAAAAGTACACCATAATCCACTTTATATTTTCTCTTTTGCTTCTAAAGGTCATTTCTTCATTTGATATGATGATGTACTTTAGTGCCTTGTGCCTGCAAATTTCAAGACACCTTCATCTAAATATCTTCAAGACTTCATGTCATCAAGCACCTGAACAGGTTCACAAGCATATTGACTAATAGCCCAAGGAAAAAGAGGAGAAGCAGTTAGGGGAACCTAGGAGTGAAGGAAATCCCCTTTTGCAGGAGGCTAGTATACTATCAAATAAGGTTATATTTAAATATAAAACATTAAGTCCTATAGATTCCATTATGTCTATTTCAGTTGTGAAGACTTCATTATATATCAACATTTTTGACCACAGATATTATCAGAGTAATACAATCTATAAATTAATTAGAAACAAAACCAAAGAAAGAAATATCAATTGTCTGAGGATAAGAAAGTGAACCACTGTAGTTCTAAAAAGCAATCTCTTTGTCTCAGAAATCCTTTCAGACACTTGGGATTTTCATTGATTACATATAAATTCAGGATTTAAAGGATGTTGAGGGTGATGCTTACTTTGCTAAAAATTGACAAGTTAATAATACTACATAAGTGCATAGATTGTAATACTCTATTAAGTCAAATGATATAAGCAATGATTTTTTATTAGCCATTTTTCAAGAGGTATGTTAATTACTGTCATATAAAAGGAAATACTTGATTTAGTATACCAACTAGAATTTAAAAGGCCTACTGGAATTTTCTATAGTTTATATTTAGTAAAAGGAATTTGTCTTACCAGTTCAGAAAAACAAACCTACAGTGAGGGTAACTATTTCTTTGATATTCTGAGTTAAAATTTCATTGTCACAAAATGGTGGACGTTAAACATTCTCTTTTATGAAAAATAAAACAGCTAAAGCAGTTGCCATATAAGAAAATTAGTAATTTATGAAAACATAAAAATATCTTCCCTTTAGAGTTCAGAATATCAGCCAAAGTTACTTCAAGTACACATTTGAAGTAAAAAGGAGATAAAATATCAGTTTTTCAAACACTAAGTACATTATGTACTGATTCTTCTACTCGCATTTAAAAGTATTTATAGTGCTCATCATGAATAATAAAACTATCACAAGGACATTTAGTGATCCAAATCCTCAGACTCCCATCTTACCCTATTTTAAATTTTATCCCAAATTTCTAGACCATAAGCCATACGATAAAATAATAAAAAATGAGTAATGAACACGTACTGTATCTGAAGCAAGAAAAAGACATAATGAAGAAACAATGGAAGTTGATAGTCCTTAAAAAGAAAATATGTATATTTATGTGACTTAAGTACATAGAAAACACCCCAGAGTACTTATTTGCCCCTGTAACTAATTGTAAACTCAAATAAGGACCTTTTTAGAAATCTGGATAGTACTTACGATTTATATTCTAACATATACTTTGGCTTAAAAGAGAACTCCTTTACAAAATCCAAAACTTTTGGAAGAAACTGTCCCCTTAATGTCAGATATTTTGTTAATAGTGGAGGACTGATTTCTTCTTATGTAAGTTATCACAGAAAATGAGAATCAGTATGAACCTGTTTTTAAAAACTTTAAAGAGTATGTTATCAGGACAAAAATTAGAATTTAAAACTTGGAAAAACAAAAGAAAATCTCTCCTCTCCTCCTAATAGGCATATTTTTGTTTGTTTTGAATGATTCGATGAAAGCCGTTTGAGACAAAAAATAGTATGTTTTACTCATTTCACACAAATGCTGAAACAACTGAATATTTATTAAATCAAGTGTTTCATATTTTGTTTTTAAAATGGGACATTTTAAAAAACAAGGTATAAAAATTAACTATTCAAGTTTGGAAATGAATGTAAAATCAAACTTACATATAATTACTCAATATTAAAACTAAAAAGACATCCTAGGTAATTTACCTTTGAAGACAGATGTGAAGTACTTAAACCATAAGTAATTAGGTATGTTAATAATATGCATTTAATCATTACTACAGGCATGTGCCGTTTAATTTCGGACCAAGCCCAATTAAATGGCATTTTGATGTCTTTGTGGAAATGACACATTCACGAATCCATATTTTAAAACTGGTATTTATATATCTTGTTCAGTTATCTTAATGGTTTATAGTAGTTTTACTCCACAACACAAACTTAAGTTGCTTTCAATAAATTTTATAAATCAATAGATTTCTTTTGAAATCTTATCATTAGAATTGGCTGTGTAGCTTAATGACTATATACAAAAGGATGTACATATAAAATAAATTTTATTTTATTTTTTCTTAAAGAAGAACAATGTAACCTTCTATACTTGTGCTTTCTACCTTTTGGGACTGATACAGATACACTGAAGCCAAAATTGTAATTAAATAATCTTTATTGCTAAAAGTTAACTGACAAGTGTTATAGAGAAAAAATCACTGTTACTATTAAAGAGCAGAAAGCTTGGTACATATAATTTAAGAATTGCTGCTACTCATGTAACCAACCGTTCAGATTTCATTTGGAGGTTAACAGAAAGAGGAGGCTTGCACTTGCTAATGAATAACAAGATTTAATATTTTAAACTAGAATTTTTAAACCACTCTAAAGACATACATGCCTCTCAGCTAATGTTATAATTTATCATATTACTTAGGTTCAAGTTGTTCCTTCAAAGAGTCATCAGAATAACATGGATTGAAGAGACTTTCGAACACTTGCCATCTCTTGCTGTTGCTGTTCCATGAAAGGAAATATTAAACATTCATTTAACTTTTCGATAAGTGTTTTACATATTTCAGCAAATAAAATATTTCAATGCTTACGGAAATCCTTATTTTTTCACTTTTAAATGACTTACAGTTTCCATCATAATTTTTTTTTGCAACATAGCCATTTCTTTTCTAAGATCATTTTCTGCACCAGAAAGTAGATTATCATGATTCTTCTCCAAGTCTTCCATACTCTAAAACATAAAAGGCTAGGTTCAGTTTTAAACCACCATTTTTTATTTCAGGTTCTAAACTTGTATAAGTATTTTCAACAGTAAGAACTTTTTAATAGTCAAATAATGTACATTATTTATTCCAAATAAAAATATTCTAAGTAATACATCAAAACCAAAATACTCACTTAAGGTTTAAAAATGTGAGACAGGAATCAATATTACTATAGGATGTACAACAGTAGTGTAATTTGCTCGAAACAATGGGTTAATGAACTGTTAAGGTTTCAGTATCAACATAAAAAGACAAAGTCCCAAATCAATAGATACCATGATTTTGAAAATTTCTTATCTTTCTAAATATCAGGTTATAATCCACTTATTATGACTAATAATCAATGTGATGTGAATTCATTAAAGAGAAAAATGATCTGTAGTATACCTCTTTAATTTGTGAAAAACAAAAATTATAAATCTTTACTATTCATCCAATAGTTATCCTAATGCTTAGTTATATAATGCCTACTATATAAAAAGTACTACATTAAGTGCTATAGAGAAATTTAAAAATAATGATACATGATCATTCCCTTATTCCAGTAAGAAGAAACATATAAACAAAAATAACAAAATTTTATAATAGGAATGGAAACAGAACTTGTTCACAAAAGAATAATATTTCAATGAATAAAGAAAAAGAAGTTAAAAGTATTCTAGGGCAAGAGCATAAGCAAAAGCATGGAAGTGTACAGTGAGTGAATTTAGAGAAAGCTATTATGTGGAGGGGTAGGAGTAATGGATGAATGTAGTAATAAAAAGAGGATCACATTATTGGGTGGAGGGATCTTGAATACCTAACAATTTAGATGAAGAAGCTAGTAACACTTTTTTAGGAGGGAAGAGAGAATGTTTTAGGAAGATAATATAGCAGAACTATGAAGAATGGATTAGAGAACAAAGAAATCAATTAAGCGTTTTAATAGTATAAGCAAAGAATGATGAGGTTTGAACTAGGGCAGCAGTGGAAATTTTTTAAAAAGAACCACTGCAGAGGTAATAATTATAGGACCTTCTAATAACTAGATATGACAAATAAGGTAGATGGAGGAGTCAAATACAATACTTAAGATCCTATCCTAAGTGGTAACATTTAGAAAAAAAATCTTTCCTAGTACTTTATCAAACCTTCACACCAATCAACAAATGGTTTTCAGGGAGCATTAGAGCAAGCTGATTGGAAACACTTTTAAAAATAATTTTGTGTTCATATATAAGTTCTTTTAAAATATTTGTTTTAAAACTATTTTACTAGTTTACTCAGAGAATCCCAATTTCTTTAAAAGAGTGACATTCTGACATGTATTTGAAAAAGATTTTCTAAAAGAACCCCCCCATTCAAAAAAAGTATATGCAGGATTCTAATGAACTATGAAAAGTTACTAAAAATAAATATATATCTGTATGAACAAGAGGTCAATGCCACAGACCACAATTTCTTAATATGCATATGTATCAGCATGTAATTCTCAATCCACAAATTTTTAATCCTCAACTGCTTTTTCATTCTATTACATGTCTGGACCATCTCTTATTAAGTTGGCATATAAAGCCATTTTTAGTGAATAATAATTCTAAAAGCAAATATGCCGTAAAGTACATACATAATACATAGTAAAAATAACAAATTTATTTGTTAATAAAAGAAATATTCATAAATTTCAATTGGGTACTTTCTATTTAATACTGGGGATACAAAGACAAAAGTCTACCTAGAAATTACGAACTTTCTATTTTCAGTTGAACAGAGAACTATCACTAGTTTTAATATATGAATTTTATGCATAATATGTACATTTTAAGGTAAAATTTCCAATTTACCATTTCCTGTTTTGAATAATTACCACAAAAACATTAGAATCCTAAAGTAAAATACATTAACACTTAAAAACAATTAAAAATGGAAAATAGTTAAAATTTAAAACAAACAAAATGGTTTTTTCCTTAAACTTAGAAACAAATTATCTTCTACTTCCATAAATTATTTTATAAGAATATATTGTGTTACCAAATACAACAGACCTTTGTGTACTGCTCATATAACTGTCTAATTGTTTTCAGTCTCTGGCTCTGGACAAGTCTAGATTGTTGAAAAATCTTTTGTTGCTGTCGAAATAAATTCTACAAATGTAAAAGAAAAAATTATGTGATAACAATTTGAGTAAAATTTTAAATTTAGCAAAAATAAGCTTTAAAGGAATAGTTTTAAAATATATACTTCTAAAATTTTGTTTTAACTATTATGACTAAGTTTAGATAATTTGTGTTCACCATTAATATACAACAACATATCTTCCTCCCTTCTTACTCTGCCACACTTGTTTAGCTAAACTTGGTTATAATTGGAGAAAACCCCACGACTATGCTAATAGGTCTCACTGTAAATCATAATCACTAACCTAAATTGGACCCTTAATGCTATTTGGCAATTATATTTCCTTAGTCCACTCTCAGGAAAATATTTTATACCTTCTCATTTGACTTCAAAAGGCAACATATTTTCCACCATCTGATGACCTTAATTATTTCACTAAAGAAATAGAAGCAATCCAAAGAGAACTTTCAGTATCCTATCACCATATCTAACCCACCCAACTACATCCCTCTGTGTGCTCATATACTCTCTACCTTTTCTTGTTTTTAAGGATGAACTATCCTTAGTTCCCTGCCAAGGCCAACTTCTTCACAAATCCCATCCATTCCCAAGTCAGCAACTGTCTCTCCTCTCCCATTTTTATTTTTTCAAGATTCCTAACAGCACACAAACATGCTGCTCTTTCTCCATTCTTAACAAAAACCACTATTCCTTTTCTACTTAGGCTACCACCCCATTTCTTTCCCATTCTCTTACACTCATTCCAGTTGAGTTTCTGCACTCACTATTCCACCAAAATCATTCTGTTCAAGATTGATCAGAAACATTCTGATCAACACCCATGACCTTCACATTGCCAAATCTACCTTATTTGGCCTATAAACAGCATACGAAAAACTTAATCCTCTCTCCTTAAAAGGTTTTCTTTCTACCTATTAGGCCACTTATTCTCAGTGTCCTTTACTGGTTCTTCTTCATCTTCTTGAACTCTAAACATTGAAGTACTTACTTAGACATCTCTTTTACATTTACAATCATTCCTTTGGTGATCTCATCCGATCTCATGGCTTAAATTCTGTCTTTATGTTGAGAATTCCCAACTTTGTATGTTAAACCCATATTTCTTTTCTGAACTCCATATTCATATCAGTGGCCTACTCCATCTCCCATTGGTATGTTTCATATACATCTTAAATTTAACATTTCCAAAACTGAACCATTTGACCAATCCTTAAAGTTATTTAATATGAACAGCACCTTAGTTCTTAGATAAGAAATGTGTGATAATTTTACAAACAGTGAAAGGATGAAATAAAAGGAAGGTTAATGTAGTTATATATGGGTGGAGTTGACTTCCATCTGCCATAGAAATGGGCAGGTAACACAAGTCTGGCCATTAAGAGTAAACCATGTTTTGACCATAATAACCAGTTCAGGAATGGGCAAATGATCCAAATTGAACAGTGATATTTCTCCACAGGACTTTTCTGCCAAAGGTACTGAGAAAGACTATCTTAGTCCATAGGGATTACTAAATTTATAGTGAAGTCTGGGATTGCAAGAAGCTATCTTGCTTACCACACTGAGAGAGGCTACTAAGAACTGGAGACAGCCAAGATGATATTACACAAGCAATCCTTCCCCACCCCTAACCAGCTATGCTGAAAGCTAAAGTACCCCCCGATTTCTTTTATATAAACCAAAATCTTTCTTTTGTACTTTGACAAATTTCTGTCACTTGGAACTGCAAGAATCCCGACCAATATAGTAAGCAAAGACCAACAACTTTTATGAGTATGGTATGTGCCTGTTCTTCTCTGGTTTACCATTCAGAAGGACCAAAACATATAGCTAGCAATGGGTAATGGAATCTAGCATAGTTCTATGGGTCTCCTACAAGGCTAGGCTCTCCATTCCTACTTGATACTTGGATATGATAGATTAATAATAAAGCTAACCATGATACTGACAGCTAGTTTTTCTTCTTGTTCCTCAGCTTTCTGCACATCTGTCTCCCACTGCTGAAACAAAGTCAGAAACTGCTGAGAATATTCTTGGTTAAGCTGCTGCCTGTAAAACATAATGTGAATATTGTCTTTTTCAAACCAATATGGAGAAAAAACACTCGAAACAAAATTCACTTTACATAATTTATACTATAATAAAAGGAAATAAAAGCACCTTAAAATTTCAAATATGAAACCAAGAAGTAAAATTATGATTTATGCTGATTCCAAAAGTATTCATTTTCCTAACCAGCTAACAGAAAAGCCCTCTCACATGCTTTAGCTCTTGAAAACTAAGTAAGTTTTATTGTATAAATTTTCCAGAAAATTCCATTTTACTGCTACGCAGGTTTTTTCATTTTCTCCTGAAAGTAGGTTCTGATGTGACAAATAGATTCAATAGAGTTATTATATTTATCATATAAGATTTCCAAATAGATATATTTCACTTAATTTTTCCTCATTTTGGTACAACAATGATTTTATACAAAAGAGTAGTTAATTCAGCTAAAATATACAAATTATTTATAATATGATTAATCCTTTTCTACATTGTTACACAATTAACTATCACAATACTAATGGTTTATATGACATTTACTTTTATTCAGCTAGTGTATTTCTAGAACAAATACAAATGACCTTTATAGCAAAAAAAACTTCAATTTTTATTTAAAAGGGGATAAAGGTAAACTATTGATTTCTAGGAAAAATATCTCAAGTCTTTAACGGAGTGAGGTTATAAGACTAATGGACTTAGAGAAAAATCAAACCAAATATACTTTTTACTGGAAACCTCAATAAATATAAGATAGCATTTTTCATAATTTGTACCAATGAATACTATGAAATGATAAAAATGCTGTGGCTGTGAAAGAAACAACAACCATACCTTTGCTCTTGTTGGGTTTTCCAAACATGTTCAATTTTCTGGCTGCTGGTTTTGATAGAAGCTTTGGTATACATTTCTAGTCTTTTTCTCTTGGCAAAAAGAGCCTTGTTAATGTCAGCTATATGAAAATAAATATTCATTAAATTTTAATGTTGAAGATAATTACATATTTTGTCGCTACATATTCAAATAAATATAAGTAAAGTTGGTTTAATGGTTTCAGAAAGACATTTTAAATTAAATTTTAAAATAGGTATAATATCAATAAGCAAGTTTATGTTTTTTTTCCTGAGAAATCTTTGTTATTAGTATCCCAGTTCTGATTTTCCTAGCTAGAGATTTTTTTTTAATTTAGAGATGATTAAAAAGAGCTAATTAAAAAAAAAAAAAAAAGATCTCAAGAACAGACCAATTTCCTGAGAAAACACAAAGGCTAAATTTAACTAAATTTACAAAATACTCTCCAACTGAAAGAACACATTTAGATGAATTATAATTAGAACTCATTATATGAAACACATGAAACTATATATTTGTAAAATCCAAAAAGGATAAAAATAGTTTAATCAAAGAATAAGAAAAGTATTTTTAAAAGTTATAGTAATACTTTTAAGCATACTATTTACTAAAAGAGACAAAGATCAAGCATAGAAAAATCTTAATTTAAATATATATCTAAATTCATTCAAGAACCCTTCTAAATACTTTCATGAAGCTTTTTATAGGACATTTTTACCCATAAATACTGCATTTCATAAAATTTTTAATACTTCAATTAATGCTTTGCTAAACATGTGCATATGGATCTACCACCAATAGCTGTTTTTCAGTAATCATGATGGCGCTTCATTAAATATTTTCTATTTCTAATATCCATCAATAATACAATATGACAGATTACAAAACAAGCATTTTGCCACTACCAAATAGAGCAAAGCTTTCAAGAAGATTCTATGAATAAGACATATACAGAAGCCTAATATTGACTCTTGAGTACTATATCCCCTAACACCATTAATGTATCTGATAATTGACATACCATTTAAAGTTTATGGAATTTTTATCTGATTATACATCTCTTACTAGCTAGCAAGGCTCTCAACTACATAGTTTAATAATGTAAAAATAAAAATAGTTATTTTAAAGACTTCAATTTACGAAGGGCAGTCGTAGAAAACTAAATTGAGAAAACAGAAAACCAACATACGTATGAGTGTATTTGTATCACTTAGTCTGTGCAAGAGTCTCTGAAAGTCCATACAAAGAGGAACATAAAAAAAGTCTATACACATTTCCAATCCATTTTGTTCTAAAATTCCACAGTCCATTAAATTCACACATACATAAAATAAAAGCACCATTCATACCTTACCACTGTTAGTACCATTCGAACTCTTCACATCAAAAACTGGAAAGGTTAAGTAAGGAAATTGATGAAGCTGAATCACATATTTATGCAAAATCTTACATATGAGAATAAGGCATTAAATGATAGTCTTCAGTACACTGATTAAAATTTCCTATTATACAAGTTATATGGTTTTAAAAAGCTTTCTTTAAATACAAGTATCGCCTAAAACATACCTCCAAATCTTTGCAGCATATTCTGTACTTCGCCCCTGTGAAGAAATTACATTTAAAAACTTTTAATTAAGGATCCATAAAATATCATGCTTATTTTGGAATGTCACACTCCCAGTATTTTACATATAACACTAACTGAACAACCAAAGTAGACTTTTCTTAAAGTACTTTAACAGGCAAAAATTATTTTGAGTATATTACCCCACATCTTCTACTCCTGAAGTCCTTTTCTTCGCATGCTTATCAATTACTGGAGATTTCTCTGTTTTGACAATAAAAAATAAAAATATTTTTGAAATTAAGTATGCTCTTTTGGTAATTTTTAATGACGTAATCTTAATTTCGAGGTCTTTTAGACTTTTTGCCAACATGAGTTGTTAAAGCAGATATATAAATGCAATCTTTCTCTAAAGATTAGGTGGAATTAAATCAAGATCCAGGACTATTTCATAGGGACAATTTTGTGAGCCTTCTTGTGTTAATGTCATAATAAGCCATGGACTATTTATCAGACATTTTGGGAATAATGACTGCAAAGCCAAGAGATGCTATATGAGCTACTCTAACTCCAAATGAGGAACATGAAGTACATGAAAATGCTTTACAAAATTTTCTTATCGTTTAAAATACAATAGGTTCAAAATAAATTTACTGCAGGACATAGTCAGTGCCCAGCAATATTAAATACACTGTACCTTCAGTAACGTCCTCCTCTGAAAAACTCAGATCTTTTTTATCTTCTTTCTCAAAGTCATAGGCTCTTATAACCTGATCCTCCATTGATGTCCTCCCAGATTTCCCGGTATGTTTTCTTCCAGAGGGCACCATATTTAGATGTTTTCTGATTAAAAAATAAATAGATCTCTCAAACCTTCTGAATCCAAAGACACCGTTTAAATAAACTGGTAAAATTCAAAATTTGATATCTCAAATACAGGTTATCTTAGTGGAATAACATTTTAGGAGTCTCCTCACTTATTTGGATGAACCAAAGGTTAACAAGATAAGGAGAGCGTAAACCCTGCTTGCAGGTGTGATGCTATGGAGAGTTCGCACCTGTGGGCTGGGAGATGGGAATTTTGTCCTGCCTCTGCCAGTGTCTGGCTGACTGTAAGCAAATCTAGCTTTTGCTTTTCAGTCACAAAGTGAAATGGTAGTTGGCGGGACCGACCACGAGCACGCCAAAAATGAGCTTACGGCAACATAAGGATAAAATAAAAACATTCTGCAATCTGCGCCGCGGAAAATTAACGTCCGTGGAAGATTTCCGCAACACAGGCATCGAGGACAAATGAAGAGCGGCCCTTAGTTAATTTTAATCGTTTTTGACGGGTTTGGGGCAGCAGGAGGGAGAGATGGCTGACGGATGCCCACCCTTCTCCTCTGCGGCCAACCTGCCCAGGACGGCGTAAACCATCAGGTCCAACTTGGCCCACGGCTGCCCCTTCGCCCCTCGCCCGCTCAAGGCCCCGCCTTCCGTGAGGCTCAGGGCCTTCATTTCCCTGTCAGAGGCCCCTGGCGGAGCCAACAAGGAAGATTTACCTCACGAAACAAGAGTAGCCTCTGGCTCGGACTCCCGAGCTGGACAACTTGCCCCTCGTCCCTCGTCCCACGTCCCTGGTCCCTCGCCCGCTCAAGGCCCTGCCCTCCGTGAGGCTCAGTGCCTTCATTTTCCTGTCAGAGGCCCCTGGTGGAGCCAAGGAGAAAGGTTTACTTCACAAGTCAAAAATAGCCTCTGGCTCGGACTCTCGCGCTGAACAAACTCCTCCCCTCACGCCTGAAAAAAATCCCACGCTGGCCTCCCCTACCCCAGCTTCTCATCAGTGATGTCCGCTTCGCTACCGCGACGCTCTCTGAGGCAACTCAGAATTCGCGCGGGAGAAGGGCCAGTCTCATCTCGCCCAGGAGCGTCGCTGATTGGCTGGTCGCAGTGCGCATGCGTTCTGTAAGTTCTGTCCGCACCGCTACTGATCGCGAGACTGCGGTCCCAGAGCACCTTGCGGGCCGAGGCCTTCGGCTGACACACTTCAGGCCTATTGTTTTCCGTTTTTTGTTTTTGTTTTTGTTTGGTTTAAATTTTTGATTTTCATATTTGAAAAGTGCAAAAGAGTGTTAAATTATAAAAAACATGAACGAACTACCTAATTTGTGAGGTGCAGTTTTACCAGAACCATTGAATCTCCTCAAGAAGTCCTTTCCATCCCATTCCTTCATTTCCCATTCAGAGATTTTTTTTTTAAGTATTCTGGATTTTGTAGAAATATTTGCCCCACCCATTTTCTAAGTTTTGTTACCACATATATGTGACCTTAAACAACCCTGCTTAGTCTCATTTGTGTTTGGGCAGTACAAAAACTGTACCGTATTCTATGTAGTATTCTGCCACTCCCTTTTTTATTTATTTTGATTATGTGTAGCTATAGTTCTTTTATTTTTCACTGCTATATAATATTCCATTGTGATTCTATTCCACAATCTATTCATTGATTTTCTTGTCCGTAGACAGGTGGGTTATTTTAAGATTGCAGCCTACACAAATGCTACTATGAATGTACTAATCATATATGTATATATGATTATTATATGATATATATATATATATATATCTGAAGTTTTTACAGAGTATCTAGGTGCGAAGTTGCTGGTTGCTGGTTATAAGTTAGATGATACTCAGTAATGCCAAACTGGTTTCCACTTTATACTCCCACCAACAGAATGAATCCCCATTGTTCTATATACTCATCATTACTTGGTATAGTTAATCTAGTAGGTGTAAAATATCTTTGGGATTTTCTTTTATATTTCTCTAATCACTCATAAGATTAAGATCTTGTTATGCTTACTGGCCATTTGCATGTCATTTTACTAAAGTATCTATTTGGGGTTTTTGCTTATTTTTACAATTGGGTAGCTATGCTTCTTATTGATTTGTAGGTCTTTTTATATGCTGAGTCTTAATCTTTATGACTTTTTCTGTATCTTTTCAAAGGTCTGTATCTTTATCCTGAAGTCATAAAAATATAAAGTTCTAAGGTTTTATTTTTTATTTTAAACCTTTTGTTCATCTAGAATTGATTTTTGTGCATGGTGTGAGGAAGGATTCAATTATTTTTTTTCCTCATGTGAAAACCAACTTATTAAATAGTGCATACTTTTCCTACAACATATGTCATAGGTCAAGTTCCTGTGTGTTTTCAAGTCTGCTTCTCTAGCCTATTCCACTGTTCAGTTTGCTTAGCCCTGTGCTAAAACTACAGTTTTCACCATTCCAGCTTTATTAAAGCTTTGATAGCTATTAGGGCAAGCCTCACATTTTATTCTTTTATTCAGGAGTATCCTGAGTATTCTTAAACTTTTGCTTTTCAAGTAAACTTTAGAATCAGTTTTCCAAGTTCCATAAAAAGAAAACCTGCTGGATTTTGGTTGGAAATGCACTGATCTATAAATCATTTTGGAGAGGACTGAGTCTTCCTATTCTTGCATGTAGTGTATTCTCTACTAATTTACAACTTCTTTAATATCATTCAATAAAGTTAATTTTTCCCTATGCAGGGTTTGCACTTTTATTAAATTTATTTATAAATAACATTTTATTGCTATTTTGTTCTAATTGTTGCTGGTATGTAAAAATCCAATTGATTTCTGATATCGATTTTATTCTTATATCTATTAAGTTGCTAAACACTTTTGTTACTTCTAATAATTTGTTGAGTCATTGGTATACTATTTCCTGAATATCAAACATATGCATGCCTACAGTGCCAAAAACATTTTTAAAAAAATTAATCATAAAAGTTAGAATTAATATTTTATTAATGAATGTAGATTTTTAGGTGGAAAATATAACGCTCTTTCAAATATAAGAGTTACTTAGAATATATAAAATGTCACAAGGTATTCTGAGTCTTTAGAAAGTATTTCTCAAAAAAAAAGATCTAAGAAATCAATAGTAATTTAATCAAAGAGAAAACTGCTTGTATAGACTGGTTTAGAAGGACCCCGTGGTTGTCACTGCTCTCACAATCTTGAGGCCAGTCTCTCACATGTTGTCCTATCTAATTCTGCCTGTAACTGGCAAATGATATCGATTTTATTAAAAATTATTGAAGTGACACTTTGTGCATCAAACTTCTATTTGTTTTCAACTTCCTAGACATCCCTTTTCCAGGGAGCTTCTTTCCTCCAAGTCCGCATAGGAGACTTTAATGGCAGCTGCCAGTTCTCTCCCACTCTCTCTTACGTGCCTTTCCACTACACTTCCTCTCTATTTTTCCTTCTTCCTATTGCTCTGGATCTTCCCTTTTGGGTCACTCTATCACTTTCTTCTGTAAACAAAATTTTCTCATGCTTCTGTTGCATCCCCGCTATAACTCCACTCACCAAAACAAGGAAGATTTGAAAAGAGTAAGATTATACATAGCTAGTTGATACTTTGGCAATCACAGTTAGATAGAATCAAAGCATAATTTGAAAAGTTGATTTTGTAGGCAGAAGTCTCAAGCAGTCTTGTTATCTACCTCTTAACAGGCCTCCCCTGTTTGTTCACCGAATGAGATGACATCTGACACAATCTTCTCACCCTGACTCCTGCCTTCAGGTCCTTAATGTCCTCATCTAAAATGACCTACCTCTAAAAAATTAAAATAAAATAAAATATAATGACCTGCCCCTGCACTCCATTCAAAGTCCCCCATCTTCTATGGCCACACCTGAAGCTGCTGCACTTCCAAAATTCCTCTTTCAGACACCTTACCCTCAAACCTCTTACCTTTCCAGCTGAGTCTCATCTGTTTCCACTAAAACCATTTGCCAATCCCATCAAAACTTCCAATCCACTACCTTTTTACTTTTCCTTTCTCCATGAGCCCCCACCTCTTCTTTTCTTAGATTCAAATTCCATTATTTCAGTCAGTCTCTTGCAAATAACAACCTGTGCTTTCACTGCATTTCTCTGGCAAAATGTTATTTCTGCAAACACCCAACTATCTTTCTCTGTGCCCACCCCTGCTCTGGTGTGTCTGGAGAAAATTACTCAATGGAGAAAATTTGCAGGACTCTAAATTTATGAGTTCCAGCCTCGACTGGGCCCTAACATTGTCCCAGGTTCTCCCATTTCCTTCTGGCCAAATCATTTTCCCCAGTTACTATTTTAAGCTTTTTTCACTCTACTCAACCTTCAATTCTCTCTTCATGCTAAGTATTTGATCTTCTTCCTATTTTTCTGAGGAAGTAGTTCAGACTGAAACCACCATATTTTCTGCCATCAAACCTGCAACCTATCTGCATGTGTGTATATCCTTTTCTCTTCTTAGACGGGAGAGAGGACCCTCCTCCTTTGTTCTGAGTTTCATGGTTTATCTTGCAAGAGTCTTACATTACCCATTACTTTTCTCTCTCTGTTCTATCCTTTCATTAACATTTACAAATACTCAAATCTCTCACAACTTTAAAATTTCCTGGGCCTTATTTCCAAACAAGCTACTGTTCCCCCATGTCTTCCTCTTAGCAAAGTTCTAAAAAGAATTATTTTAGTTTATTGCCTCAATTTCCTCTCCTCACATGTTCTTTTAAAAACAGTCTAAATCAACTTCGGCCCCTCTCATTTCTTCAAAATGGTGCTCACTCTAAAGTGACCAGTGACCTCCATGTTGCTAAATCAAATAGACATTCTCTAGTTCTCATCTGACACTCAGCAACAGCCAAAATTGTTAACCACCCATTTGTCCAGCTCCATTCTGTCTTCTTTTGACTTCTATAGCTATACATTCATGTTATCCTCTTATTAGTCTGGCAACTTCTCAATATCTTTGCTAGCTCTTCCTCCTTCATTGGAC